TAATTACCACACGTGAGAGTAGATAAGAATAATGAAGGGTTATTATGAAGAGTTACAAAAGCATTTTCTGTAACAGGACACAGTAGAAAATAAGAACACCACATTAAGGACAACGATTTACCTAATTGTCTTTTCTTTAAAAAAAAAATTATTATTATTTTATTTCAAAATATTAAGAGGGTACAAGCATTTTTATTACATGGGTGAACAGTATAATGCTGAAGTCAGGTCTTTTAGTGTGCCTGTCAGCAGAATAGTGTTCATTGTACCCGATAAGGAAGTTTTTATCCCCCACCCAGATCTAACCCTCCTGAATCATGAGCTTTCCCAAGCACCAAAGGCAACTACTCCTCATAGGACAAGGGAGGATTCTAGAGTTTTACCATTCTTCAGGCCCTAAATACCTGCTTTAAATGTTCTCCAGGGGTAGCCATAATGACTCTCTTGTACTAACATTTTGTTTGGAACTCAGGGAAAAAAACAGAATTAAGTGATTAGAATGGGCCTGACTCCTCTCTACAGAGCTTCTTAGGTTGCTCTGAGGACCCAAACACAGAGGATCATTTCCTTCTTTTCTAATTTTCTTTTATCCTGGAGGAACTAATCAAATTTATTTCACATTTTAAAGAATTATAAGTAACAATGAAGCCTATGCAGATCACTCTAACAAGTCCAGTTCCAATAACAACTAGGAGGTAATCAGTTATTGTTTCTACAGAATAAAGTTTATGATTTGAGCTGTCTCTATGGTACCTAATGTACCTAAAAAAAGTTTTCAAAATATTATTCACAGTTTTCTTCGCACTGAATAGATTAGTTATTCAATTGGATTGGTTCAAACAATTACTTATTTTAAAATTCCTTGATATGAATATTTTACAAAGTATAAGGCATATATTTTTCAAATATATCATTGTATAAATCTATTATTAGGAAATTCTTAGTTAACTTACAAATCTCTGAGATCCATCATATTCACACCTTTCAATTTTTCCTAGGCTGCCGTCTGAGAAATATAACTTTTCTGCACGGTGGTCAATGGTGAGTCCATTTGGAGTGAGTATGTCTGTACTGATCACCACTTGAGCATTTTTCCCAGTCAGGGTAGATCTCATGATACTTGGATGCTGTTCATTCCAGTTGGTCCAAAACATTAAACTAATTTAAATGAAAATTGCAATTATAAATACAAATTTTCATCAAAAGCAAAAATAGTCATAGAATCATGGTGATACTAAGCTATTTAAAAAAAAGCAAAATTATTTTTTATATTTTATGACCCTTAATGAAGTCTGGTAATAAAAGGAGATATGCATATTATATTTGTATCTATATTTTGCCTAGATTCTTAAATGAAACCTAGAACCTATTTCTGAAAAACAATTAGCCTGTGTATTTCTTCAAA